GCAAATCACTTCAATGGAAAGGAAGTGATCAACATTAATGTCAAGGAACTTTTTAAAGATGTTGAACTGTTTCGTGTCGAACGCCTATTCACTAAGAAATATTGAACTTGGTTAGTGGAAGTCAGGCGACCAACTCTAAAAAGGTCATACATTTATATGAAATGACTGTAACTGAGACTGGATTTACCGGAGTTAAATTTAGCATTGACAAAAGCGAACTGGAAGTTGATTATGGAATGAATGAATCCCTCGAATTAAGCCAAATATTAGTCCACGTTGACGCCTCGCTCATCAGAAGATGTATTAAGGTAAAAAACAGTTGCATATCACACCTCTATTCGCTTGATTTTCAGTCATGCAGCCTCGAACCATACGCACTTGACAACTTTTTAAGTCAAAACAGCCTCTATAAATGAGATATGTAAGAAGACATGTAGGTTCATATATCAGCCAGAAGGATTCAAGGACAGCAGTAACTTTATCTACAAACTGAACAAGCGTTTTTACAGATTGAAACCTAGTACTTGCTTCAATCTAGTTTGGGAAGTGAAATGCAAAATTCTTAACTTATTTGAAGATTGTAATAATTGATGGAAATCCCTGTCGTTTTCTATTTGATTGTTGATTATTGCAGGTGAAAAGAAAGTAGGAATTATTAAATTTGAAATTAACTTAGCATGAAATTCGAAATCACTTTTGGCAGAAATCTACGAAGTGAAGCTTAATAGCTTCAAATGGAACTGAAAATACATTAGAATGGAATCTTCATAAGCCAGGCAAAAGGAATTCAAAATATTTTGCTACGTATTCTATTTAATTCTTTGGATCTGGCGACTACACCATTAAAACTGTGGGAAGCTATTGCACGTATCAGCTCCATACAAAGAAGTTGTTGGAAGTGTGCTTAATCTATCAACAATGTCACGTCCTGGCATCACTTTTGTTGTGAACTGTCGTTGCAGATTTTGCAGAAAATTTATGGAAAGTCACTGTAAAATGATCAAAGGAGTGGTTGACTTCAGACGTGACAATTTGATTGTTTACACTGATTCAGTCTACGAATGAGTCAATTGGTCACACAACAAGTGGTAATTTTGTAATGCGTAGTTAGTGGACCAATTTTTGGGTACTCCCAAAACGAGAGACTAGTGGCAACATCGAAGCAGAAGCGGAAACAAAGAAACTGCATCCTCAATCGACGACATTCGTCGCATCAGTAAGAAATTATAAATCCTAAAGTCAGACAATGAGTCTGTTATATGAATATGCTGAGCAACACGAAGAAAAAATTGGAAAGGAAAGAAGCATATTAACATTCCAAGAAATTTTATTCCAAAACACGATAGAAGGATAATTGAACTGCAACACATTAGGAGTTCTAATCAGCTGACTAATATATTTAGTAAAACACTAACTCGTAAATTTTCGAAGACGTGCGTCAAAAAGCATTTAATTAGATTTGAACGCAAGAAGAACACTTAGTGTCTTTAAGTTACAATAAACTATTAAACAATTTATAATATGTAATTGACGTTATATTCACTTTCAATTACTTTACATGAACGACTGCTTGTTTAATTTCCACTATAGCGGCACCAGTTACTACAGATAATGACTGGAGGGCTATTAAACGGTAATAATAATTATAATTAATTGTGACAGAACATACATATGTGTAGATATCTATATGCGTCTGTAAACAGGCCGCTGTTTAAGCAATTAATTTTACTGCGGAAACATGTGGCAGTTCTGTCAGACACACCAAGTTGTCCCGAACAAGAGACATTTGTGCATAACTTTCTATCTCTCTCTAGTTCAGCATCGTTAACATAAATGGGAAGTTATTAAAGGTCAATTAACTAAAATGCGTAATGTACGCAAACATAGACCGATAAGATATTTATTCCCATATTAACCAAAGACCTCTAAAATAAAAGAAGTTATCAAACATATGAAATTGGGTTTTACTTGGTAAAACTCACATTAACTTTATACAAATAAAACTTAAAATCACAATATATGTGGAACCTACGACAATTGATTCACAACATACCAACCTTTCCAAGTGTAACCCTCACTTTTAGTTAAGACAAAAACCCTGTCCTCATAACACATGAACCTGAGCTACTGTTATACGATAATCTCTCTCCACGCACGCATAGGGTCAAGTACATGGAATCGGATCAACTTCCATTACATGGGAGACAAATAGCTTCGTAATTGTTGTTGTACTTAATTTCTGAATTGACAGCTTTTTTGATTTCAATAAATTCTTCATTCAACATAAACTGCTGTAACCTTTTGATGACCACCAGAACTTCTGCTATTTCTGAAATGCCTCTAACAAACATAGCCGTCAGCGACTGAGCAATGATGCTGTAGTAGGCGGTGAAAAAAATCACCTTAGATGCAGTAATTTTTCCCCTGTTAACACAATGGTTAAAAGGGCACAGAATAAGGCAACTCTTGTTGTAAACAAATTAAAAGTCATAAACAAAGCTCGAACATAACATAGTTTTGTTATGATTTTAATTTCCATCCTTCTGGCGTGCCGTATTATTTTACTAAAGGGGATTTCCCAGGCATACATTTTTTATAATTTAATTAATTATAATTTATTCAATTATAAATCACTTGGTTAAGCAAATCCAGCGTTACTATCAATTAAAACTGAAACTGACCCTCCAATAACCGCTACAAAGATTACATGCTTTATCGGGGTTCTTCTGTTGAGTGGCAACAATTTTCTACCTCCAAAAAGAATGTACTCGAGTACGAAAGATGATGCACATAATAAAATGGTAGCTGACAACATGAGCAGAAACAGATTTTATCAGATTCAAAAGTTCATTGATATTTGTGAAGTATGGAAGCTACGGTCATTCATGAACATGCAGAAGCAGACGTTTTTAGAGCATTTTTAACTAATTAAATATTTATCGTACAATGAATCTATGCTAAAATACTTTGGACATCACGGATGTAAACAATTTATCTGTACAAACCCATTAGATTTGGTTTTAAAATGTGAAGTCTCAACACCATGGAGGGGTACCTAATCAATTTTGATTTGTATTAAAGGATGAATCCTCGCGGAATGATATAAATTGTTTGCAAAGGCAGCTGCTCCATTGGTTCTGATCTTCAAAAAGTTACTTCAGCAAGATCTACCTATGTAATTCACATTGACAACTTAGTCGAAATTTGCTATCCTACCTTAGAAACCTAGGCTAGAGTGTAGGAAAAGTAGGTAGGTAGTAGAGTATTAGGAAAAATCGGACACCAAAATCATGCCCACTGACGAACAAAAAAAGATTTTCAAAAGAAAAGAATTTTATAAAGATGTATTCAAAAGAAATTATGGAATTCTATTTGTAAGATGGATGGATAATGCAGTAATTACGACAGTAAATGCGGAAGTAGGAATTCAGCCTGTAAGCACATTGAAAAGGTACTCACAGCAAGTAAAAAGAAATATAATGATGCCTCGTCCTCAAGGGCAAAAAATAGTACTAGGTAGTTCATATTTATCTGGTTAATAGATACTGCGATACAAATTTCTCTATAGAACAAGTAATACAATAATGCATCTATCTTACACTTTAGAAAGGAGATAGTTCCCTTAGGGATTCAGTGGGACGTCCTAGCCTAGAAAACGATCAACCATTACTACTGGAAACAATTGCGCATATTGCTTCATTTGGGAGTGCAGCAGATGATAGAATACGAACGGAATCTATTCGCAGTGTAAAAACTCTTGATGAACTCACACAAAAATTACGTAAAATAGGATTTAACATTAGTCGAAGTGGGACATATTTTCGTTTGATTCCCAGAAAATCTAATTCTGTGTAAATATTATGTGCGTTAAAACCCTCTATCCTAAATCTATTTTCTTATTTCTAGAATTACAACTGCTGCTCACGAATCAATAAAAAAAGACAGAATGCATTAAAAAAAATGGACATAACAATGTTTACGTAATCATAGGAACGGGGTAAGACCTTCGTTTACTTTTGCTGACAAGGGGTATGGGGAGTAAATAATTGTAATAAAACTGCTTACGTAATACTTGAACGGCCCCTAAGGTTCCAGAACGGATAAATCTTACTAAACATATGGATGTAACGTATGATAGAATCGATCAGTTATTTGCATCCTGTAACAGAAGACGCTGTGCCGGGTAAGGTATTTGCCAAAAATACAGCGTGGGATTATGTAATAAGTTCCATATGGTATCGGTAAATTTCCAAACAGTCGTCATATTATATTTCATAAAAATTCCTTTTTGGACCTTTTTATAGCAAGACTACATTAAATATGTCAACAAATCAATACTTGCAAAAAAACAATTAACTCGGGAGTTAACGAGTTAATGTCGCAGATGCATTTGGGTTTAACACCAGAAGAAATATTTTATTTACATTTGAATTCGGGAATGACGCCAGCCGTGAAATGAAAATAATGGAAGAGAACGGCTCGCAACTATCTGAAGGTGTTGAAAACAAACAGGATAATAGAATTAATAGTATTTTACATACTGCTACCAGCGATGAGCAAATGTACGTATCTACATAATTGATTTTATCCTAACAGGCATCCAAACATTGTGTAGTAGTAGATCGTTTGTTTATTTTAAACTTTCGATAACCGACACTACTTACATTCTCCATTCATGCAGCGTGCTTATCGCAATTCACTATTTGGTACACACCTGCGTTCCCGCGCACAGGACCGGCTTCGAATGATCAATTATTGTGATTTTATCAAAAACACCTTACTGAACTTACCAAGCGGTTCCCTACTGAATCTTGATTCAGAATTTGACAAAGACATAAGAAATAAATAAGAGGCTTCATCGTTTTCTGAATCACCCAAGTGTGTCCTAGCTAAAAAAAAATAATTTAGTCAAAAGCGACTATTTCGTCCGAATTGTTGCTTTAATTGCCATATTGTTATGAATATAAAAACAAAAACCAGAAGTACGACTGAACATTGTAACATTGTTTAGCCATTTATTTACTGAAAACAAATACAGAAAAAAATACACTTCCTAAAATACGTATTGGTATTTGGTTTGTGTAAATTTTATGAAATATATAGTAAATTATTTTGAAAAGTTAAGTTGTCTCATAAAAATACAATAAATAGGAATATTTTTAAGAACCATATGTACTAATAGTTCTTTGTTCAGTCTGATAACTAAGCCACCGTTTTAAGAAATGAATGACGCTTTTACATTCACTTTTCCATATACTATAAGTAATCATAAGTTGCTAAATCTTACAATCATTTCCAAAGCATATGTTCAATGTTTTCGTCTAAATGGTATATTTGCTTAGCATAAATTATGTGCGAATATCAGACAAAATACTACATTTATTTGTACAAATCACCGAGTCTGTTATTATTTTATTTTGTTTCGACTGGTACTGCTGGGAAACTCATTTCCATTTGAACTCCTCCTTGCAATTGCTTGGAATTTCTGCGATAAGACGTAGGGTCTAGACTTGGTTTCCTACGACTGAGATGTCTTTCCACCCACTTGAGCAAAGTGAGTACTGAGTCAGTTGAAGGTAACCGCCTTTCCGCTGATGTCTTGGTTATTGACGAAGACGTGACCCTAAACGTAGCAGCCATACCTTTAAGAGCCTATAAATTTAATTAAAAATGTTTTACTTAACTGTATTTACATGTAAAACTATTTATTTAATACATTTTTATTTAATTTTAGATAAATAAACGATGGGGAAACCAATGAGGATATCTGGAGCTAATTGAAAGATAAGATATTGGAAATACCTTGAGAATATTACAGGGTAGAACTGGGATATTAAACAAAATTGCAAAATCATAAGGGTTCAGTAACCACAAAACCCAGAATCTCAAAAGGTTAGTTGATGAAAAGGAAATCAAAGGAAATCTATGAATACCTTTTAGAAAAAGACATATTGTGTGCATCACTTTGAAACTGTATTACCTTTTGCAGGGCAAACGTTAAAATAATATTGCAGAAATTGGGCACACTGGTTTTCCTTTTTATGAAATAGGCGCATTTATATAAACCAAATATTAATCTTACAGAAAAGGGTATAATGGTTACACAACCCGGATTTTCTAATTGTACTGAATAAATTGACTTCGTTCAATTAAACAGAAGTACATGAATCGTTGTAAATAAGCATATTATTTATTTAAAGTACCTGCATGGCATCTTCATCTGTTACGTCATCCCCACAGTATATGATTCGGATACGTTCACTCCAATCTACACCAAATGCCGTCCTTAAAATATATATTGATGCTCTTCCTTTGTTCCATTGAACAGGGGGACGAGCTTCAATAGCACAATGAGCTTTGCCAGCCTTAAAACCGGCTTCTTCAATAAGCTTTTTTGCTTTTGCTGCCAAATCATTTCTGATATTTACTGGTACTTCACGGAAATGGAAAGTTAAAAGGGCACCTTTGTTTTCAACCCACCCGCCATCTTTACATACTTTTTCTTGAAGATTTTTCAGAAGATCTTCAACTTTTCCTTTAAATTCTGTTGGCATGGGATGAACGAATTTGCTTCCGTCTGGATGGAGAATTTCTAATCCATGACTACCAGCATATGTAATTCCTTCAATCCCTACCTGTATAAACAAAAAGCACTTTCAATGTATCTGGGATATCTAATGACTTTTTATAAGTTTACCATTTCTTTCACATTATGTACATTTCTTCCTGAAACAATAGCTATGTAGCAATCAGGGAGATTGGAGAGCCTCTGAAGAACATTTTTTGTCTCTTGTGGAATTATGGCAAGATCTGGATGGGGAGCTATTGGTGCTAATGTACCATCATAATCCAAAAGAAGGGCAAGTTTATGTGTATTTCCAATATACCTAAAAAATTTCTTTGTTAGTATTTTAATTCATTTCAATTTTATGAATAGGTACTTCAACATAAATTGAGCAAAATCCAAATTATAAAAAAGTGTGATATAATTAAAATCAATTAAATACATACTTGGACAAATATTCATCAAAATCATCAAGGGTAACTTGTGGCATTGTAATTGCTCCGACTTCATCATGATCCTCTTGAGCTGAAAGTGAACCCATAGCTGACAGAAATGATTTTGTCCAGTAATTAACATCGTTTAATTTCTCCCTTCGTCTCAAGTAGTTCATTCTTAAAATTCTTTCATCTTCTGGCATCGTAAGAGCTCGATGAATTACTTCCGCTGCACTATCTATTTCGTATGGATTACAAATGAGAGCTTCATGCATTGTTTCACCTGCGCCAGCGAACGGTGATACAATAAGAACACCTGGAGGTGTGTTTATTTGGCAAGCCACGAATTCCTTTGCGACTAAATTCATGCCATCTCTAAGAGGAGTTACTAAACCTACATATGCTTCTCTATAAAATGCAGCCAATTCGTCTTGACTGACACATCCAAAAATATAACGAATAGGAGACCAGTTTGGCGTCGTAAACCTCCCATTTATTCTACCAACTAATTGATCAATTTCTTCCTTCAATTCCTGATATTCTTTTACGTCAGTTCTTGAAGGCACGGCAATCTGTAGTAAAGATACTTTTTCCTTGTGTTCTGGATGCTTTTCTAAAAGTGTTTCAAAGGACTTCAATCTGTTCACCAGACCTTTGGTATAATCCAATCTATCTACACCGAGAATAATTTTCTGGTTTGTTGACAGAAGTTTCGGTGCTGTATGGGCTAATTCAACAAAACGATCAAATGGAATACCAATTGGCAGAGGTCTAACTCTAACTGTCCGACCTCCATGTTCTACTAGTAAATTTTTACGATCAACACGACATCCCAAACTACGTTGACAGCAGTCCACAAAATTAAGACAGTAATCTGTAATGTGGAACCCGACCATATCACATCCTAACATACCCTGCAAAATTTCATCTGCCCAAGGAAATAACCTAAATATATCCCATGGAGGGAACGGAATGTGAAGGAAAAAACCTAATTTGCACGGAACTTCTTCTTCTTCAGCAGTCTACAACAATAGCAAAAAATAGATTGTTATGTTGAAAAAAAAAAAAATAGTGATAGTAACTGTAATAATGTATTTTCGGAACCCTTTTGTAAAGTAGCTTCAGCTAATTATGCTTTGCTGTATCTTCAAAACACAACAATTAAACCTTCGTAATATTTTTTCACTAATCAAAGTACTTTACTGATCAACACTAAAACATCTTATATATTTGTAGATATAAATTCGTATTGAATGAACTCAGTAGAGTAAAATGCTATCTAACTCTTATCTCTTGTTTTTATATTTCAAATTTCGATTCTTATAGTGAGAATCAATCACTTATAGATTAAGTCACTGGGTACATACTTGTCTTATCCAATTTGCAGCAAGCATAAGATGGTAATCGTGGATCCAAATAAGTGGAGGTTCATTCTCAGCTTCTCCAGATTTTACCAACCTCTTAAGGGCTTCGAAAGTACGGTCCGCAAATTCTTTGTTTACTTCTGTATAAGCTTTATATTTATCTCCACGAAATATGGCTCTATCAGGCATTGAGTGGAAGAGCGGCCAAAAAGTAGCATTACAACAGCCATTGTAATAATCGTCGAACTTAACTGGATCAACTTGAACAGTTACCACCTACACATAACAAAATTTAGTGTTAGAATTGACGTAGAAATAATAAAATTCAAAGCTCGTCAGATAGTTTCAATTCCCACCTCCCCCCAACTTTATCTTATACGTAAATGTAATGTTTTCGATTTATGTATAGGGATAGGGTTCTTAACGAGCTTGCACAGCTACTTTTGCGTCAAATAAAATATTCAGTTTTATTTTCATTTTAAAGAATTTGGTTAAATCTTGTATACACTACATTTAGTCTACATTTACAGGTACTCCTACAGATCAGTTTAGTTTAAAGTGTAGATACTTTCAAGTATTATACTTCGTTTAGTTTTTGTAGCGATGTGACCTTCACTTTAACCGGCGCAAAGTAGAAAAGAACAGCACTAGGACAGAAAAGAAAGGNTTAAAGTGTAGATACTTTCAAGTATTATACTTCGTTTAGTTTTTGTAGCGATGTGACCTTCACTTTAACCGGCGCAAAGTAGAAAAGAACAGCACTAGGACAGAAAAGAAAGGTGACAACTCTCGGTCAAACTCTTAACCGGTGAGGAGCGTATAATCCGTACAGTACTGCACGGAAAAATTGACCATTTTATCCACTACAATTGCATTGCTCAAATGTGCTGTTGTTGGTACCAATTACTACTGAAAAAATCAACGAGATGTTTATTTATATTTGAAGACATATTAAAGGCTTTAACGCTTATTTTCGACTCGCACTACTATTCATGATTGACAAAACTTTTGGCAGGTACTGTATGAAAAAGTAATGAACAACAGTCGAGAGTATAATGAGCTTTTTTCTCCCTACCTACGATTTTGCCAGCGCGCATCCAAGACATTGGAACATTAGAGAAAGTAAATGAAGTATATTTGTTTATCCCTGTACAGTACTTGGGATTAGGTAAGTGAATGATAAGCAATAAATTTTGGTTTTAATTAAATTTTATAGTTTGAGAAGCTTTAAAAGTTGATTAGGACACAATTAGGTATATTCACCACAAAATTCAGCAACGTAGATGCAATGAAACTGACCTGAAGGTATAGCCCGCGGACGGGTGGTAAAAAAAGCTCCCTCGTTAGCACTGATTAATTCAGGTTTTTTCAATCTGTTCATAGTTACTCTCGCCGCTAGCGGCAGTTTTGAGCGTATAAACGTATGGTCTTTGTAACTGGTGTGTTTATGTTAATATTAACTTACAGTTTTATTCAATACGATAAAACTATATATTGGCGAAGTCTTGGTTAAAAAGGGGGAAGACCATGTAAGTTGACGTACTTCTGTTGTTCTGAATTGAATACAAATAAAAACGACGTATAAAAGTATATTTTTCATTCATTAAATACCTTAGGTCAAGCATTTCTCAAAACGTATATCTCTAAGTAAATAACATTACAGCGTAGCATTTCGTCCTAAATTGTAAAAATAAATCATATTATAAATGTCTTAATACTTTTTTTTAACAGTGATAAGTATAACTCCAGATCTCGGTAATGTTCGTAATCTATTATACAGTGATGTCAACAAGGGTTACGTTGACACCAAATAGCATGTAAATATTATTTAAATACTTCATCGATAATATATTTACTACAGACAGTGCGTGGTACTGAATCGAACAGGATTAATCTGAGTAAAAGGAATTTGAGTTGGTCTGATAAGGGAATTAACCTAATCGATTATATTAAAGTAATTACCAGTGGCGTAGCGTGCCTGGGCCCTATATCAAAATTAGTTGGGGGCCCCAAATGAAGGGTAAAGCTTTCTCAGAGAAGAAACAAAGGTAAAGGTCTGGATTATCTAGATAGCAGGGGGGATTGAAAGAGAAGGTCTTCTTGAGTAAACCACTACAAAAAGTTCGCGGCGGTCACACCCCCATAAAAAGTTATGGGGTTGCAAAGTTCTGTAATTTTCATACACTATAAAGTCTAATAAAATTTAATAGATTACTTATTATTACGAATTATCCAACATTTATAATATTGATAATTAGTAAAGAGCCAAAAAAANAATGTGCGGGCTCTTTTATTTCGTTTTTGAAATAAAACGCTGCAGACGATTCGTTAATTTGTAAAATGTATATTTAATGATTTTAGTTCGTTACAGTTCGGCAATTCTAAAGTGACTAAAACTAAATTAAAGGAATATAAATTAATATGTGCACTTGTGTGCAACAACAGGTTCTTTTTTCATATCAGGGTTTACTTTTGCAAAATAGTCTAAACATAAACATCCGTCGCGACTCTAGTCTTATCGCCAAACTTGCTATAGTTTGCACATAAATTATTGATTGTTTCTATGTAGTTTTCATTGTTTTCATTTTCGAATATTCTTTGAAAATTAATATACAAAACACACTTACATACCCACAAGCATATGAAAATCAACAAAATAATAAACTTTTCAGCCCCCATAACTTTTCATGGGGGTGTGATCGCCGCGAACTTTTTATGGTGGTTTACTCAGGAAGACCTCCTCTTTTAATCCACCCTGCCCACACCCCCTTCGGGGGTTAATCTAGACCTTTACCGAAACAAAAATGCTTGCATTAAATTAAAATAAATATGTTTTGATTATAGGTTATCGCTTCCTCCTATAAATTGAGCTAGTTAAACAATTCAAATTAAATATACACTTTTATTGTCTTTTTTTCGATAAATTGATTTATTAAATCATCTATAGCTGAATATGATTTAAGTTCTAAAATTTCAACTTCTATAGACAATAGTGACAAGTATATAACCGTTCCTGCCCCGTCGAAGTCCTTAGGTAATTTTTTATCAGTTTTAATTTTGAAAAACTTAAACGGGGGAATCCCGCAAAAACCGATGTACAATGACAAACCACGGAGAGAAATATTTACACGTTTTATTTCATTCCGTTTCAAACGTTATTACATTGTAATACAATACAGTCGTGTTTTTCTGATTATTTATTGGTTAATTAGTTTGATTTGTGAAAAGAATGAGTGAAAGGACAAGAGATTATCCCAGTGGAGTTATGAAAAGAAAAAGTAATAAAAAAGGAGGAAAAAAAAGTGCCCAAAATTTCTTAATTTTTTCAGAAATTAGCTTCTGTGAGTGATTTAGATTGCAATGGTAAGTACTTGTCATTTCTGAAGTGAAAACTCTATAGGCACGTATGACAGTTTTTTTCCCGGGAGGCACGAGATTAAGTGACATTGTGGATATTTTACTAATTTTTGCTTACACACGTAAGGGCCTCTGTAGCCCGGGGGCCCCGTATCATTGATACGGCAGTAGCTACGGCCCTGGTAATTACTTATTACTTAGATACATGCTAATCATCAATTCCACCAGAGTGCCCTGTTTACTTAAAGACAGGAATTATACGATTTAAAAACTTATAAATTGCTAAAATCAAAGCAAAGTGGAAAAGGGGGAGGGAGGGACTTGAAAAGCAAGTCTGCAGTCATGCCATACGTAGGTATGATTAATACAACCTTACCTATCAGGCTCTAATGTATAGGGTTGTTCGGAAAGTCATTTCGTTTTTTCCCGACAGAGGATTTAATTGTATTCTTTTGCACCCAACTTCACATTTAAGCCGTATAATTTTTATATACTTTGAGAGCTCATATAGCAAGGCTTGTGTGTGAAAAATTCCAATTAATTCTACGCAGTAGTTTTTGGTTGGTGCCCTTTTAAATATGGAGAGCGATAAGCAGCATTTTCGACATATCTTACTGTTTTACTACAGAAAGGGTAAAAATGCTGTTCAAGCCAGAAAGAAATTGACTGATGTGTATGGAGAAGGTGTGTTGACAGTACGCCAGTGCCAGAACTGGTTCGCTAAATTTCGATCCGGCAATTTTGATGTCGAAGATGCACCACGTTCGGGAAGGCCGGTTGAAGCTGATAAAGACGCGATAAAGGCATTAGTTGATGTGAACCGGCGAATAACAACACGTGAGATCGGATTGAGGTTAAATTTATCAAATTCAACAGTTTATGACCACTTGAAAGGCCTGGGATTATCCTCGAAGCTCGATGTATGGGTTCCCCATGTTCTCACAGAGAGAAATCTGTGTCGCCGCATTGACGTCTGCGATTCGCTTCTCAAACGTCACGAAAATGATCCGTTTTTGAAGCGCATCATCACTGGGGACGAAAAATGGGTTGTATACAACAACGTCAAACGCAAGAGGTCATGGAGCAAAAAAGATGAACCGGCTCAAACCATTTCCAAAGCCGATATTCACCAAAAAAAGGTGATGCTGTCTGTTTGGTGGGATTTTAAAGGAATCGTTTTTTTTGAGCTTTTACCGGATAACACAACGATTAATTCGGAAGTCTACTGTCATCAGCTGGACAAACTGAATGATGCACTTCAACAGAAAAGGTCAGAACTAATCAACAGGAAAGGTGTAGTGTTTCACCAAGACAACGCGAGACCTCACACAAGTTTGGTCACTCGCCAAAAGCTTTTACAGCTTGAATGGGATACAATGCTACACCCACCATATTCTCCAGACCTGGCACCATCGGATTATTATTTGTTCCGGTCACTCCAAAATTTTTTAGACGGTAAAACCTTCACCTCAAATGAGGAGGTCAAAAAAATCCTCGATCAGTTTTTTGCCAGCAAAGGCCAGAAATTTTTCGAGAGTGGAATTATCCTACTACCAGAAAGATGGCAAAAGGTGATGGACCAGAACGGTCGAAATATAATTTAATAAAGTATTTGTTTATTATACGAAAACTGTCTTTCATTTCCACAAAAAAAACGAAATGACTTTCCGAACAACCCTATATAATTTAACTAGCTTTTCCCCGCGGCTTCGCTCGCAAAAATTAATATTGTTTCTCCGTAAAACCTTTTAACTCCCAATTCATCCTTACAACGTTTTAATTTTATGTAATGCCTCCATCTTAGATTTCAAATACAAACGTAGCAACAATATTTCATCCTTAAGGGTTGATTATTAAAAATTGCCAAAACAGGTATTTGCTTAATTTCAACAATGAGCAACCTTCGAGTAAATCCGAGTACAAATAAAATATACCCCGTGGAAACGTTGCAACCTTTTTTCATTTGATTAATAATATCAAACAGTATATATGCAGGTTTCAAGTAAATTCAACCACAAATAAAGTATATCCCAAACAAAAATTGCAACACCTTTTTACTCTTCTCCTTTGGAGGTTAATTTTTTTAAAATATCGGGATAGGTCTTTCAGAAATTAAATGAGAGACTATTAAGACCAAGTTTCAAGTAAATCTGAATACAAATAATATATGTTCCATTTAAACATTGCAACTCCTCTTCACTACTCCCCCTTTGTTATACCATTTTTAACAAATAAACGGCTAGACTGATGTTTTGACTGTTTTGCTATCAATTGCGTTTTGTTATACCACGCATATGTCACGTTCCACGGGAATGGGATAAAAAAAAGTATCCTATGTCCGTCTCCTGGTTCTAAGGTACCTCCCTACCAATTTTCAGCCAAATCGCTTCAGCCGTTCTTGAGTTATAAATAGTGTAACTAACACGACTTTTTTTATATATATATGTAGATTTTGAAATAATCAGTTTTTTTACAATTTACACTAAGTACATATTTTTAAATAAAAACTCAAAAAATAACTAACCTTTTCAGACTTGAGTCCAGCTGTTGGGGTGATATCATCCGGTCTCGATTCCGGGATTGGCTCGTTAGGATCTTCCAAATGGATTCCTGGCCAACCAACCCACAAACCATTAGTATTAATTACAACGGGTGCAACTGCAGTAACTAACCCACCGGCGCTAAAAAAAAAGATGGTTTCTAGTGCAATAGTTAAATAGAACGCAATAGTCTTACATTGCTCTTCTGTAATTATTCTTTACTACAGTATAAACTCTGTATAGTGACACTTAAGGGATTGCGCATCTATGGCGTTATTGAGAGTTGTCATTAAATGAAGATAAGAAAAATCAATTTTATTTTACTATTATAATACACAATGCATTTACTAATAAAGTATTTTCTTTTACTAGCCATGTTCACAGTTTGAATGTTTGTGAGCAATTAAGAATGTGATAACGTGCCTATAGATAATGCTTAACAACCTAACTTAACGACTCCTTTGATCTAAAAAAATCAACGTTCTTTGCGAATTTCTTAGAATCTTCGGTACGTATGATGTCGATAATCGAGACAAATATTACCTAGAAAGTACTTTTTATTGCTTAACAATGATTTATTGTTGTTATTTAGAGTGGATGTGATGCTACGTAGAGTGTATCATTGTATGGACAACAATGTAAACCAACTAGAGTCAAGTCATTTCGATGTTTTAGGGAGTCTGTCGTTAAATCGATACTCCTTAAATAGAGTTTATACTGTATTTAAAATTACCATAATTGTTTGTAGATTACACAATATTCTGACTTGCATTGGTTACAAATTTTAGTCAAAGCGTGTGAAACAGATTTAGAGAATGCAGAAGTTTCTATTTTGATTTAGATTCGTGTACCAAAGAAAAAAAAAAGAAGCAGAAAATAAAAGAATGACTTGAACGCCCTTATATATGACAAAATTTAGAAAACATTGTAATGCTCAGCTAACATATTTATTGGTAAGGTGCAATAAAAATATTCCAGTTACATTGGCATTAATTAGGTCGATAATATACTTAATTGGAATAAGGATTCTGGTGCTTGTTGCAAATTAGGGACTATTCTAACTTCAGTTGGCCATGGTTAAGAGTTGTAGGTTAGGTTACTCATAAGAAGATAATGTTAGAGAGTAGGAACGAAGATATGTGTCATTTTATTAACTGATTTTTACAAGTGTTGGTAATATAATTTAAATATACTGACGTATAAAAGCCGACTTTAACACTTTGCCTATGGGTATGCACAAATTTTGATCTAAAAAGTTAAAAAAATCATCGAAATAACGAGGGTGCGTTAATTTTTCCATCTTTGGAAATAGAATATTTTCTTCAAATTTAAATAGGAGCGCCCTGGAAATATAACCTATCCTATAAATAAGAATCACTAAAATCAGTTCATAAAATTTGCGAAGAAATAGCGTAACAACATACCCAAAAAAAAATTATTTATCGTAAATAGAAGATGGATGGAAAGTTTCGTGGAATACTTTATTTATAATTTCGCCGTACAAGTTACAAATAGGAACTAAGTGCACTTGCATGAGCTTCTAAAGACGTGCTTCCGTAACTTCCTGCAAATAATCGCTAATGCGGAAGAACCTTCTCGAGGCATGACAGAATAGCAAACAATACAACTATTATCGTTTATGGTTAGCGTAAACGGTAACCTACGACACATCAGTCAGAAGTTTTACAGATAAGTAATTGCATTACATAAGATCCTTTCACGCGAATAATTGCTGATCAGTATGAATTCCAAACGAAACGTCTGCAATATTTATTTATGAGTGCAAGTTTATACATAACAAAGCATTCACGCTAGTGAACATACAAAAATAGAAAAATGTAAAGTATTCTGATCATGACCTTTTGAAGAGAATAACTTTCATTCATTAGTAGACATGAAGGTCTAGTCGGAAACATATTAGAGGCAGAAACAGGAGTTAGGAGGTAGACCTAGGTTAGATTACTGTTCGCAAATAGTTAAGGATGTGGATTGTTCTAGTTATAGGGAAATGCGAAGTTCAGCTCAGGATAGGAAAGAGTGGAACTGAGTGTCCAGTCTTAGGACTGATGACCTTATGATGATGATGATGATGATTAGTAGTCCCTTACAATTTCATAACAAAAGGGACTGCTCCATGCCACAGGGAACTGATTTCCTTAGTCTAACCTGCCAAATTGCGCATTAGCGACCATTAATATTTGCACTTAATACTCTAACAATGCCATTCAAAAACAACGGACAAATATAGTAGCAAAACCCTATAATTCAATACTTAAGATACAAACGACCTAAAAAGGACTTTAAAAAAGAAAAAAAAAAATACTAAATGAAAAAAGAAAAAGGAACAACAAAATTTAGTTAATGACATGAGTCCTCGTGAGCCCAAGATTGCAAAAAATACTTGGGGAGAGCATTGTGCTACTTATTGTACAAAGAAAAAAGTTATGAGGAAAGTCACAAGTACTATTATTAGGAAAAATCCCATGTAGGAACTGCCAGAGTTAACGATCGTTTGACTATAATACCCTCGGCTGATAAATCTTGGGCCAGCATACATTGACAGGGGATTTATTTTCTATACTTAAATTCAAATAAATTGATATCTAGGATTGTCAAATAAATATTGTGAGCAATATTTCACTTTTTATTAATTAAACAGCCATTAACAGTACTGTTCAAATTTGAAGAAAAAGGAGAAATTATTTTAAAATTCTGAATTATATTATTTTTTTTATTAATAACGAAGAAGAAGAACCTGGATTGAAAAATGATTAATAGATATTATCATTGATAATAATTAGTAATAATCTATCTGTTAAT